TCTGACGTGGTAATATATTTATTAACAGCGGATTGACCAACAAACGTATTCATAATTAACTACCGTGTAACAGACGAAAAATTTGATTAGTTTTTTTTCCGTATGTGCCGACAAACCTTAAAATACGTTACCTTTTAAGAATGGATTTAACGGTTTGTGCATCCATACTTCTGAAATTCTGCATCTATATACATATACAAAATCAAATCGTAGTTATTTTTAAAATAATCCACGTCTTCAGATAGTAATAAAGTTTAAAATATATGATTATTAAATATAGTTTTACTTAATAAGAATATTCCCTGAGATTTATTTAATCGAAATTGAACATTAAAAGTTTGAAAAACTTTACAAATTATTCAATTTTATATTGTAAAAAAGGAAAACAAATCGATACAGACTAATTTTTCATAGAAAAAGAAATTTTTCTTCAGACAAATTTGTCATTAATATGTATTATTCATAAAAGCAATTAAAAAAAAAATTCTCTAATTAAATAATGTCTTAGTTTTATTGCGTTTTTTATTTTTCGATTCAGAACAGAAACACCGGATCCGATTTTTCAAAAAAACTAAAAAAAAAAAAAAAAAAAAAAAAGGCCGATTTAAATTCTTCAAATAATTCTGCTTTTAGCAAATATGCTCACTAAAATTTAACTCGTTGAAGTTCTCAAGATTTCATAAAATTAAGTATGTGGGAATATAAAGTAAAATAAAAAATATTTTTACCAAAATTTTCTAATAAAAAATGGTGAAAACATAATTCCATTCATTTGTGAATAAGTCTTGAAAATTTCATTAAAATCCGATAATTATTTGATTTTTGCAAGAATTTCCAAATTAATATGTCTGTCACCGCAAAAAAGTGTCTAAAATTTGCTATGCTAAAAGTTAGTACATCCGCTGACGCAAGAAAAACAAGTTTTTTTAATCAAAATTTCGAACATTCTAAAAAGGAATAAAAAAATAATTCAATATTAAAAAAATACATTGATGCTTTCTCTTAATAATAACCTAATGATTTTGACTATAAAACTATGTTTTCATTACGTTTTGAGCATGTTTTCATCACGGTATGCTGACTTTTTAGCGATCTCGTGGAGGTACCTACCTGTGAGAATAAAATATTCCAAGCCTTCTTTGCTTTTTATGTGTTCTAGAAATTCCAACTGTCTTGTCCTGATGTTATGTATAAATGTTTGTTTTGTTTCCATTTTCTCTAAAACTTCATTTTTGACCACATCTTCAGTCCTTGGCATTCTTCAGTAGAACCGCATTTTGCCATATAGAAGGACAGGTATCTAATAATAGTTCAGTACTCTTTACTTTGTTTCTAACGAAATCTTCCTGTTCCTTAATACTTTGCTTAGCTTTTGGAAGGTATATTTCGCTATACCTATGCGCCTTCCATATATTTAAATTGTTGTACTTGTTTGATTTTGTTATCTCCAATTTGTAATTTACATGTTGGGCTGTCCCTGTTGCTAACAACCATACATTCTACTTTCTTACAGTTGATTTTTAGTCCTTTCTTCTCGTTTTCCTTCACAACCATTTGTATGCGCACTTCCTGACTGTTTCTGCTATTGATATTGTGCAATCTGCATATCTTATATTGTTAAGATTATTTTATTACTAACTAGCAGTAGAGCCCGGCGTTGCCCGGGGATGTAACAGTAAGAGATATATCAAGTATCGACCATCATAAAAACTGAAAAATAAAATTGACAAAGATTATTGTTTAAGGTTGACAGACACGCATGTCTTAATTAGTTTTTTTTTTGTTTTGTTTTTTTACGAATTGATCAAACCCAAACTCAAACAAAAACATTGTTTTCAATCGTTATGAGTCTACCGATTGAATAGATTTTTATTATAAACAATTGTCTTGTAAATGGAATTTTTAAAGCATTCTGAATGTAAAAATAAAGAAAAAAGTGTGCAAGACAATAAGAAACACTACCTGCCAAAAAAAAAGTGAAGTTTTATTGAAATTGGTTGAAAAATATAGGAAATCCGACCCGATATATAAACGAACACACACAAACAATCTGGGTTTTATAATAAGTATAACTCGATATGAGTTGTCCTCCTTTCATTCTGGCGACAGAATCGTGTTTTATCGTGTTTTCAAATTGATTTCGTGCAAAAACAATTGTGTTTTTCCACTTTTTGGCGCTGTCAGAACCACCGCAAGGGAATTTTACGTAGTCCTGTGAAGTTTTGTTGAAATCGGTTGAATATATGTACGAAATCCGATCCAATATATAAACGTAAAGACACACACACACACACACAACCTGGATTTTATAATAAGGATGATTTTAATTCGTTTGATTTTTTTTTACTTGTTTTCCCAACAATGTATCGGTAAACTTTTTATTATTCATGAATTTATTAATTGTTTTACAGCATTTTATTATTTTTGTTTTCTATCGCAAGACACTAGTTTGCATGATTTTAAGCGTGCTACTAGGTTGATATCTCGGTCCCACTCTTTCACTTTCGGAATGGTTAAATGTAACCGCCTCTTCTACTCCAACAGCTTCTTATACCGCACTTCACGACAGCAGGACCCCCTTCCTCTTACTTGCTTCCCTGATAGGTATAACCTTCAAGCATTCAAATGTAATGTCAATCGATATATTCTGATGCCTTGAAGCTGGTACCCGTCCTTCTCTATATCCTTTCGTCAAACACCCCTCTTTGCTCTTGATCTCACTCTCTGTAACTCCTTGACTGCTAGTGGCAATCCCGCCTTGCTTGGTTTCAAATGCTTAAAAAAATAAAATAAAATATATTTTCGTTACCTGATTTTTCATAATTAATTCCCCTAAAAACTAATTATAATTAATAAGTTTTAACTGCCAGTAAATATTCAGTCAATGATCTTTTTCTGGCGACATTTACTTTAGCAGTATTAATAATGCTCCAAATATTTTATTATTAATTTTATTACAAGTTATTTTGGCTGTTTTTTTTTCTGTGAACGTTTGCTGTCAAATTCCTCTTCAATGTTCTTATTAATGTAATACAAGTTTTTAGTACTGTCCTGGGTATGACTACATCGGGAAGCAAGGCCTCTGATCAGCATGGAGGATTTTGCTGAGCGTGGGACCGCCTATTTATTACTGTTGTTCCCAGGTCCACACTCACCCGGGATGGTAGCACCTGTTAGGGTCCCAATCTATGGGTAAATAGTGAATCCCTAAAAATAATATGAAAATATAGAAATAAATTTTTATATTATAAATACCAGAAATACATTTCTTATAAAAAGAGATTACCAGCAAAACATGTTTTATATAAAAAAAAAATTACCTGTAATACTGTTTTATAAAAAAATATTACGAACAATACATTTTTTTAATAGGATTGACCAGTAATACAATTTATAGCAAAATAAATTACAATGACAATATATTTTATAATATGACAAAAAAATACATTTTGCTAGTAAAATATAATTTTATAGTGAAATGCCAATCAATGCAACAGTAAAAAAAATATCAATCAATACAACAGTAATTTTAAAATTACTAGCAATACATTTTTATCAATATATTTTTGTATTGAAACTACTAACAATATATATGTTTTTTAATTGGTAACAATACTTTTATCATCTATAAATTATATATTTTAAAAAACGTACGTTTGCCCTAGCGAAAATGAAATGGTGTAAAATGTTCGGAGGTCTCAAAGTTTTTACAAATGTTAACCTGCTCTGACACCTTGCGTAAAAAAGCCTCCAATCGCAATAATCGAACTCCATTTGGATTTGTAACATTCAATGTGGAAGAGACGCCCAGATATCAATATAATATAAGAGAGATTTATTCTAACTGATTCCAAAACCGAAAGAGAGAAAAATATGATAGAATGGTATATTAAGTAAAAGTGTGCATGCGACAGATGAAAAGACATAAAAATGAAAAGAGGGGGTTGTGAAACGTAAATGATAAGTGGGGGAGGTGAAAGGAGATAGAGTAAGAAGAGTGAAAGGTAGAGAGAGAGAGAGAGAGAGAGAGAGAGAAGGCTAGAGAGAGAGAGAGAAGGCTAGAGAGAGAGAAGGCTAGAGAGAGAGAGAGAGAGAGAAAGCTAGAGAGAGAGAGAGAAGGCTAGAGAGAGAGAGAGAAGGCTAGAGAGAGAGAGAAGGCTAGAGAGAGAGAGAAGGTTAGAGACAGAGAGAGAGAGAAGGCTAGAGAGAGAGAGAGAAGGCTAGAGAGAGAGAAGGCTAGAGAGAGAGAGAAGGCTAGAGACAGAGAGAGAAGGCTAGAGAGAGAGAGAGAGAAGGCTAGAGAGAGAGAGAAGGCTAGAGAGAGAGAGAGAGAGAGAGAGAGAAGGCTAGAGAGAGAGAGAGAAGGTTAGAGAGATACCCGCTGAATAAATTATTGAATGGGGAATTGAGAAAATAAAAAGCGAGTTGCAGAGCGGAATGAAAAAGGAAACGAACGGAGAGAGATAGAGAAAGAAAAAGAAAGATTAAAAGAGATATAGAGAGAGATTCAGAGAGGGATTAAGAGAGAGACAAAATTAAAGAGAAAGAGAAAATAAGAAAGAGAAAGAAACAGATAGATTAAGAGAGATATAGAGAGAAAGAGGAGATTATGAGAGGCATAGAGATTTAGAGAGAGAAAGAGAAAAAGTAAGTTTGATTAAGAGTAAGGGAGATCCAGTAAAACAGGGAAAGAAAAACCAAGGAAGTTAAAGGGAGGGGAAGAGAAAATTGTAGAGTAAGGGAGATCAAGTAAAAGAGAAAAAGAATGAACAAGAGAGTTAGAGAAAGAGAATGAGAGAAAGAAAGAAAAAATGTAAGTGAGATTAAGAGTAAAGGACATCCAGCAAAAGAGAGACAGAAAGAGTAAGTGTATTAGAGAGAGAGAGAAAAAGAGAGAAAACGTAAGTCAGATTAAGAATAAGGGCGGTCCAGCAAAAAAAAAAAAAATAGAAACAAAAAGCGATTAAGAGAGACAGCAAGAGAGAAAGAGAGAAATTAAGTTAGATTAAAAGTAATAGTGATCTAGCAAAAGAGAGAAAGAAAGGGAAAGAGAAAGAGAGAGAGAAAGAGGGGCAGAGAATCTAAGTTAAAGATTAAGAGAGATCCAGCAAAAGAGAGAAAGAGAAAGAGAGTTAAAGAGATAGAGAAGTGGGAGAAATAGAGAGACATTCAGTTAGATTGTCTAAGAGATATCCAGCAAGAGATAGATAGATAGATAGAGAAAGGGAGAGAGAGAGAGAGAAAGGGAGAGAGAGAAAGAGAGGGGGTGATAATCAAACAACAACGTATCAGATGAGATATATTAAGAAAAGAGGGATAGATTTCATTTCATAGAAAGAGGAGAGAGAGAGACATTCAAAAAGAGATAGAGAGATTCAGAGAGAGATTTAGTGAGAGATAGAGAAAGAGAAGATTCAGAGAGAGATTTAGCGAGAGATAGAGAAAGAGAAGATTCAGAGAGAGATTTAGCGAGAGATAGAGAAAGAGAAGATTCAGAGAGAGATTTAGCGAGAGATAGAGAAAGAGAAGATTCAGAGAGAGATTTAGCGAGAGATAGAGAAAGAGAAGATTCAGAGAGAGATTTAGCGAGAGATAGAGAAAGTGAAGATTCAGAGAGAGATTTAGCGAGAGATAGAGAAAGAGAAGATTCAGAGAGAGATTTAGCGAGAGATAGAGAAAGAGAAGATTTAGCGAGAGATAGAGAAAGAGAAGATTCAGAGAGAGATAGAGAGTGAAAGAGAGATTCAGAGAGAGATAGAGTGAGAAAGATAAAGATTATGATATATATATATATATATATATATATATATATATAGGGAGAGAAAGATTAAGAGGAGGGTAGAGAGAAACAGAGAGAGAGAGAAACAGAGAGATTAAGAGAAATATATACAGAGAAAGAAAGAGAGAGATAGAGAGAAAAAAAGAGAGATTAAGAGAGAGATAGAGAGTGCAAAAGAAGTATTAAGAGATATATAAATAGTGGAAGAGAAGGATTAAGAGTGATATAGAGAGAAAAAGAGATATCAAGCAAGAGAGAGATTAAGAGAGTGAAAGAGAGACATTAAAAGAGAGATAGAAAGGAGAGATGAAGAGAGAGAATGAGGCATAGAGAGATGAAGAGAGAGAATGAGACAAAGAGAGAAAAGAGAGAGATAGAGTGAGAATGAGAGAGAAATAGAAAGATAGAAAGATTATGAGAGAGCGAGAATATTAAAAAGACAGAAAAAGAAAGTTGTATGTGAGATGAATTTGAAAAAAAAACATGAGGTAGAATATGAAGCATAAGAAAAAGATGAATCTTAATTTGCAGAGAGAGAGGAGGCGAGAGAGAGAGAGGGAGGGAGAAAAGGAGAGAGGTGTGGAGAGGAAGAGAGAGGGGAGAGGAAAAGAGACAGAGAGAGAGGGAGAGAGAGGCAGGGAGAGAGATGCAGGGAGAGAGAGAAGGAGAGAGAGATGGGGAGAGAGAGAGACTGAAAGGTAGGGGGAGAATTTTTAAGGGTATGCAAGAAAGTGGTTTATAGACAACTTCAGTTTGAAAAGAAGGACTATAAGATTTCTCTACACATGGATGTGCCGAATTCAAATTCCCGTTGTTTTCGATATATTCCCATACACGCAAATAACCTTGGAAATGATATGAAACCACATCTTCTCCTCAGCTATGGGTTAATTAGTAATACTTGTATCACTAAATCATTACTAACTGTAAAATAAAGAAAAACATTAAAAAAATATTTTCTGTCTTTAAATAACATGCGGAGGGTTGATAAACCGTAAAATACAATCAATTAATTTGAATGGAGGGGTAGATCATGAAATATATTCTTAATGCATTTATTGCCAACCACCAGTTAATTTCGTGGTTTTTAGTTGATTTTTATGATACCAATTACTAGTTATCTCGTAGCAACAATGAGTCTTTACACGCAAATACTTTTAATGTGAAAACAATGTTAAAATTTTAATTAAAGCTATAGATCAAGTCATACATTTTTTTTTTATTGTCTAGGAGTTTAAAGTCCGATTTCCTCACTGAAATTATTGTAGTGAACGTGTTAAAAATGATAGATCTCAAAGAGAGTATAAGCTGCTCGGCCCGGAGGCAATGATCAAAGTGAAGTACGCTGCCTTTGTGAGCTTCCGAGTCGGCGTCTGTCTGAGGAACCCGGAGGAAGCTTTTCCGAAGGGCAAGGTTTCGTCCTGGGAGGTAGACAGGGCCTGAATTCGTCAAGGCGGGTTCAAAAAGGCTATATTTTTGGCCGAGCCTACGGGCTCGGGGATACCCACATTAAACCGGCCGTGTGCCACATTCTATCCTCGTGGGTGGATTGATAAATACAAAGAGAGTATAACTGACCATTCATATTCGAGGATAGCCAATCCCTATTGTAGACGTTTGCTCAGGCACATTTTGTGTTTGTTCAAAAGCCGCCTGCAGTTTGTACTGCAACTATGCTGAGCAGACCTTAGTTACAGTTTCGGGGAGAGTGCGAGTTATCTCGTGTGATCAACAATTTGAACAAAGCCAGCACGTCCCAAACCCTTGTAACTTCGTACTAGCACAGTTATCATTTACGCAATTCCACTCACAAGCCTTGGGTCCAGTGGCGTGTGGGGGGGGCGGACCGACCCGTATGCCAGCACAGGAGGGGGTGACACAATGTCACCCACAACAAAATTTTTCAACAAGGCTAAGGTGCCAAAAATAGTCTGAAAACAGTGGTGGAGACACAGGGTTTCCCCCGCCTAGAAATAATTTATGACCCCCCAGTTTTGTCCCCCCCCCGTCAGAAATTTTCTAATAAATTGTCGGGAATAGCAATGTTTTCAGCTTTCATGTGTTTCAGTTGCTACAATCTTGGTTACTAACAAGAGACATTGTTGTAACATTTTATCGGATGATATGGTGTTTTAACTCTGCATCATTAATAACAACAAAGCGAAATACGAAGCCAAAAGTGCAACAATTTCAGTCTTGCCTGTGTATCAATTCGCTGAGATACAATTTTCCATTGAGTGAGCGATATACTTTTGAATATATCTACAAGTGTTGGGACGATTAATCGAGAATCGGAAAAATCGGAACTTTTGGGGATATCGGAAATGGTATCGGAATCGGAAAAATGTGTGCCTATTTTCCGATTCCAAAAACAATTCTTTTAAATTTTTAACTTATTATTTTTACCATTATTGGTACTAATGATAAATATTTATTGTTTTTAAATTATCACTAAAACTAAAATCATAATAACATCAAAATACGATGTAAATTTATTTTACTTGTATAAAGAAAAACAAAAAAATAAACTTTTCATAAATTCTCTAGGTAACCTTTAAAAGAATGCAGTTGATTTACAATGTTCCGAAAAATGCTTAAAAATTAAATAGAACATTTTTGTCAAGAAAAATACTTTCAAACATCATTGATAATTAAATGGTACCCAGAAAATGATGCAACGGAAAATTGGACACCGGAAAATTAGCAACAGAAAATTACGTCAACCATGAGCCAGTAGAGACTGTCGGATCTGGCTGTGCTGTCCATTGAAAACAAGCTTACAAGACAAACAGATTTTGACGATGTCATTGACCAGTTTGCCACAATGAAAACAAGAAAACATTCATTCTAAGACCATAGTGTCAAATCTCATTCTGTTGTGTATTGCTGTGTTTTGTATTTAGTTGTTCTGAATGTGAACAGTTGCATCTTTAAAATCGTTTGATTTGAACTGATTATTTTGTGGTATTGGATTTTGTCTTGGATCATACATGTAAACAGTAACGTACCGGTCAGTAGAGTAAAGTAGAGGTAGAGCATGTATGAAAATTTAGCTACAGCTAACCATTCAGCATAGGGTGAGTCGGGGTCATTGGGGTGACATTTGAGCTGACCGCCCCGGGTGACGTTTACTCTAGCTACGCCACTGCTTCGGCCAACCCGTGCTATGATTTTCAGATACTTTCTAAAGGTGCCGAATGTCAGTTCGATAACATCAGAAAGTCTCTTTCCTGACAAATCGGCCATGGTTACATTCGGACCCGGGTCTCATGGTCAGAATGTGAAAGTTCTAACCACTCAAAGTTACTAATAAAAATAATGGAGGAATGAAAGAAAACGAAAGAGTGTCTGTTTCTTACGGATTATCAACCCTTTGTGTGTTATTTAAAATCGAAGCTTATTTGGAATGTAACCGGTGTACACAAACAATCCCTCATCTTCTCTGTCCTGACACGTGCTTCACTTGGGTGAGCGTGATTTGGCCGTAAAGGGATGGGTATAAGAGAAGGATTTTGAGGATACCGTTGTCCAAACATATGAACAACGACGAAATTTTGGAGAAAATGGAAACAAAAAGGAAACTTATACTTAACATCATGAAGAAACAGTTGATGCTTCCAGGGAATATTTTGCGGAAAGAGGGCTCGGAAAATTAGCTACTCACAGGACAGAGGACAATAGGAAGACAACGCATAACATACTCTGTGAGCTTGAGTAAATCGATGGCGTAACAGGGTTTAGGATCATTGACAAAAAGACAAAATTTATTAATATCTACAAAGGACAGATAATTCTGGAGAGCTAGGATCACCTATGTCTTGATGTGACATCGCACATAAACAGAAGTACGAGAGAGATTGCTGTACAAATGCGTGCACACACACACACACACATTTATATACAAACACACGCGCACATATACACACACATATATATATATAGGCATGTCTGATTAAATAAATGACAAACATTATGTCTTCTTATTTTTAGCATAATCCGTTCATATTCACGAATATGTTTCCGTGTATTACGATCAGATGATTTTAGTACTTTACATCTCTTTCAGAGATCATCATTTCTACACCCCTGAAAATGATCTCAGAAAGAGATGGCAAGTACTTTGGAAATAAAAGTTATTTTCACTGTTACAGTGCATTTCTTGCATCATTTGAATGTAATACACGGAAAAATATCCGTGAATATAAACGGATTATGCTAAAAATAAGCAGACATAATCTTTGTAATTTATTTAATTAGACATACCTAAAAATATAAATATATACATTTATGTGTGTGTGCGTGTGTGTGTGTGTGTGTGTGTGTGTGTGCGTGCGTGATATAAAGGTAAATGGATGGTGGAACAAGATTTAGGAGAAATGGCAGAAGCACAAGGTTTATTAAGTGCTACAATGGAAATGAAGTCGTGGAGAGCCATAATTGCCTACGTCTTGAGGGGACACGGCACATAAAGAAGCAGAATAGGTACTGATTAATAGAAAGAGAGATAGAGAGAGAGAGAAAGAGAGGGTGAAGAAATTTAAGAGACAACAACGGTAATAGGGAGATCAATAAAAGAGGGGTGTGAGTAAAAGATCGATTGAACGTGAGAGAATTGCGGGGGGGGCGGATCACGTGGAATGCAACGCAAAGAAAGAAAGAGTGTATAGCAGAAGCGCATGCGCATTTAGAGACAATAAAATGGTGAGGAAGAGATGGCAAAGAAAACGAAATCTTCCAGAGCGTGGAACGTGTGGAAAGCGACAGATATTCTACATCGTGAACAGAGACCAAGAAAAGAAAAAAAGGCGGAGACAGTTTCCTTGCATTTTTCATGCTTCTTCATACAGACCTATTCCCATATTGTCATACTCCCGATCTATTTTCGTCAATAGGAACCACAACATTACCGGGGGTGAATATGGCGGGGAGGCATCCAACTTTGCTTTGTCTTGTCTGTTTAATTTTGTTATTTTTTATTTTTCTGAACGGCAGGGGTTCCTTATTCTGCGTTTATTTTTATTCTCGTTCAGGTAGACTTAAAGAAATAGCCAATGGGTACCCTTCATTTTCTTCTCTATATCTGTTACACTTTCTCTTTCTCTGTCTATATACGTGTGTTAATCAATAAGCCTTTGTGTGCGTGCCGATTTTAATGGCGTCAAAAACAAGAGAAAATAAAAGCACAGAACATCTTCCAGAGTTGTCAGAGCCGTAGGGAACTTTCTTCGTCACATAAATCCCTATTCATCAGAAAGTGTAAAATTTACAGCAATAAGGACGCTGAGTGCCTCTGTTATTAACATAGTCTGAAAGCCAAGCTATGTCTTTGTCAAATCTAAAACGCTATCTATTCCAAGATAGGATTTGAAATAACTGGATTGTACCGAGATTGAAATTATTCAGAAATAGTAATAGAAAAAGCAAAAAAAAAAAAAAAGCAAAAAAAAATATAGGGACATAATCTCATCCTCCACGTTTTATTGAAGAATTCTTGGAATAAACTAGAAGTTGTATGTGTGGTCTCTTGCCTAATACAGATATCCATATCCTCACTTTGTAAATAAATAAATCACTTTCCGTATTAGAAAAAAAAATCATATTAACCACATCTGTATGCCAGCAAACTAAATACCCTTTTTAATGCATCGTCTAATTTACGCCAGTAAAAAATTAAGGAGGCACCGTGGAGTAATGGATAGCGGCTTGGATTGAGGAATCGGAGAGCCGAGTTCAAATTCCAGTCGAATCCATTGCATTCACTTACGTGCTAATATCCTCGGGAAAAGTATGAATCCCCTTCTTCTCCCCACTCCAGCAATGGGTAAATAGCAGGACAGTTCTATAGCCTTCGATGGCAACTGGTCTACTGCAGAAAGAAATGGCGGGAAAATAATTTCCCTCGTCAGTTGTATATCAAAAGATACATGATCGACTAAGCGTGTAGCACATGAATGAAATTTACTTACGCCTTGGGAAAATTAGGAATCCACTTCTTCTCAGCTCCAGCTATGGGTAAATAGCAGAACAGACCGGGTTCTATAACCTTGGATGGCAAGTGGTCTACTGTATAAAGAAATGGCAACCTACTATGGAAAAAATCTGCCTCTTCAGTCATGTATCGAAAGATACATGATCGCTTAAACGTCTGTCAGTCATGACACATAACTGAGTGAAATTCACTTACGTGCTAATACCCTTAGGAAATGTATGAATCCTCTTCTCCCCTCCAGCTATGGGTAAGTAGCAGGGCAAACCGGGTTCTATAGCCTTGGATGGCATCAGACCGCAAAAAGAAATGGCAACCAACTGCGGGAAAAAAATCTCCGTCGTCAGTCATGTATTGAAAGATACATGATCGCCTAAGTGTGTATCATGCATGACACATAACTGACTGGAAAAAATTAAAAATAGAAAACCCGAATTTACAAATTGATTTTACGGTTTATCAAACTTTTCCAGGTTTGTAAAAGTCAGACTAGAGCTGGAACTCGGCTCTTCGATTTCCAGTTCCTGGCGTTTATCCATTGCACCACCTGCACATCTCTTCATTTCAAATTGAAGTTCTCTTTCAAACATTTTCTTGCATATCATTATAATTTATCTTCGTATCTTTCTTTCTCTCTCTCGCTCTCTTTCTTTCCCTCTCTCTTTCTCTCTCTCTTTCTTTCTCTCTCTCTCTCTCTCTCTCTCTCTTTCTTCAAACTGAGATCCCTATTTTACAATACTCGTACATCCAAGCTTACAGCACCTGGTATTACCCAAGCGGTCACCGACATAGGTACTGACCAGTCTGGATGTTGCTTAACTGCAGTGCTCGTATGTGAACCGGTGTTTCAACGTAATATGGCGTCTTGGGTAAGGCGATAAACTGCATCAGTGTCCAGGGTAAGACGATAAACTACGTCCAACAGCTATGCCTCTGATTAGGAGGCTTTGAGGAGCGTGTAACCTCCTCTTAATTCTTGGTGTTCCCAGACCCACACTGACCTAGGGTGGTAGTACCTGTTAGGGTCCCAGCCATGGGCAAATAGTTAAGCCAGAAACTGAGGTAAAAGGCATTATAAAAGTGTAAAAATAGGTTTTAATACCAGAAATACTTTGTAAAAAATTATTACCAGAAATAAATTTTTGAAGAAAAAAAAGATATTAGAAATATGTTTTTGAAAAAAACTATTACAGCAATACGTTTTTGAAAAAATATTACCAGCTATACGTTTTTGAAAAATTAATATTACCAGCTATACGTTTTTGGAAAAATAATATTACCAGCTATATGTTTTTGAAAAAATTATTTTGAGGAAAAATATTAGCAAAAATAGATTTTTGACAAAAGAAAAATATTACCAGAAAAAAAAAGTTGTCGGCATTAAATGACCCATTGAATTTGATATGCCGTAAAACGAAACAAATCAAACCAAATCAACGTAATATGAAAGTATGTCTATTACAACTGAGAAAAAAATCTCTCCGACTGTAAATGTAACTCATTTTTTTCATCGACATGCTGTGGCAGACAATTTTTATGGTATACTGAAGAATTAAGAAGAAAAAAAGTCCATATGATAACTTTAGTTGCCACAAAAAATAAGTTTAATCATGAGTCTGAATTATTATGAAGTTATGTCTGTACTATTTGAACCAATATTAGACGTTGTCACGCCATGGTTTGTGCCGATCAAAAAGTTTATTCTGAATCTGTCGTTAGACAGCATTAGTAGAATTTAGGTTTAAATGATTTCACTTAAAATGATCGTTTTTCATTCTCTTTTAAAATATTATATCAGAGTTTATTTAGAAAAGTAATTGGCATATGGGTGAAGTTTCGTTTTTCAATTATTAGACTGAATGACTCATCAAAAAAAATATATTTGAAGCTGTGAAATTCGAGTTGCAATTTTAGTAAAGTAGCAGCCATACCAAGCTGCTCGAACAGAAAAAACGTTCAATTAGAATGGGGCAAAAACAGCACCGTGTTTAGAAATAACAGAATCTATCTTATTAAATTATTTAAATTACTCTCATTTAAAAAAACATTTTGAATTAATGCATTTACTGATATAACGTAAGTAGTCTGTATTTATTCAATCGAAGTTAGCCGAGGACATGAAAGAGTAAAACAGGCAACATGAAGACCCAGTTCAGACCACAAATATTTTGGAGGTTTTGAAATTCAACTTATCACTGTCCTACCAGGGATGTAAAAGTGGATACATTTATAAAGCAGTTGTTAAGTGTGATGAAAATTGGTTGAAAGAACAATGAAAAATAAGAAAGAAACCAGTAAAAATCGCCATTTTCGTTATTTACGCAGGTTTTCACTATATCGATGGAATCAATTATCAAGTTAATGACTGTTAAACAATCAACTTATTCCTGGCTACAACTGAGTGAAGTTTGTATTAGATTGCTTGAAAATTGATGGAGCTTTTAGTTTAAAATTTGAGTTGAAATCGATTTGGGTTGAAATCGATTTTTCGTTTTTCACTGTTTTTCTCTAAACGCAGTGGCGTAGGAATGAAAATGAGGTATCGTTGAGCTCGTCATGATCTAAGTAACCTAGATACCGAGTTTGAAAAAAACCAAAGGAAAAAAGTTGAATTTATCGATTTTTGATCGGCCTTATCGAATATTGATTTCTTAAAAAAACTATCGATTTTTTACGCTAAGAACTTCCATTGTACAATGTATGCGCCAAGTTTAATCAAAATCGTTTGGATGGATCTCGAGTGAAAGGTATCACACAGACACCCATATATATTCTGTTTTATATATATGGATGGATGCACCGTTCATCTGGGAAAGTTTACTGAATATGTCAAAAGAAATATTGAATTAAAACAATAAAAAATCTATTAAAAAAAATTAAAAGGACCATAATGTAGGTTCTCTGTGATTTTTCTATAAATATTTCCATGCCACTTGGTCAGACAACTTTCCTGTTTTGTACCTCGATTTCATGAATTTAAACGTTCCATAAGATGACAGATTACAGTGGAAATTGCTAGATGACACCGTAAGTTCTATGTTAACAGTTTCTTCTCACGTACATCTGGCTTGTGAAACACTCTTCCGGCTCTATGCTCCCCGGCCAACTTTTATAGTTAAAAATTTAAATGCAATCATTATTTTCTGTCTTCTTAATCGCTGCTCTTCAAACGGAAATGGAAAAGAGATCAGTAAAAAAAGAAAAGGAATTATTACGGGAATGATTTTCGAAAGGTGAGACAAAAAAGATATAAAAAACCATTATCATGACTTTAATGGTCTAGCCTGAAAAAGAAAAATGCCGAATGGTGAAAATAGATTAAAATCAACAAATGTGCACCGTTGAAAAAAAAGAATAAAAAAAGAAAAAAAAAAACAATTAATGTTTTTCACGAGAGACAGAAGGGAGAAAAAATATTTTAAAAAAAATATTAATATTATTTATATATGCAATCTTGGTTCATTTATTTTTAAGGGAAAGTCGCGTTTTTTAACTGATTCACTAAGAACACCTGTATGGCCTTACGGCCCTATCACCTTGTTATAGTGGTTCCCTTACGTTTAACGAACAACATCGTTTTGATTTGGTTTGGTTTGATTTTCTATCTATCTATCTATCTATCTATCTATCTATCTATCTATCTATCTAAGTATATATTGGTTTGGTTCGTTTTGTTTTACGGCATATCAACGCCTCAATGGGTTATTTAATGCCGACAAGATTTTTATTGCTGGTTATATTTTCTATCTATCTATCTATCTATCTATCTATCTATCTATCTAGTATATATTGGTTTGGTTTATTTTACGGAATATCAACATTGAAGGATTATTTAATGCCGACAAGA